GATGCTAGCTACGGTAGCTAACATAAAAACTGACATAAAATGGCCCTATCTAGAGCCTGTGTTTGGTTTGTCCATTCTAGGCTACTATAGAAACATGGCAGTGCTGTGTATAGGAACTCACTCCCCATGTAGACATAAACAGGTCATTCTAAGGTAACAAAAAACATTACAATTAATATTTTCAGGGGTGATTACACATTAGAGAAAACATACTTATTATACTTCAATTCTGCCAATATAAACCCCTAAATCCTACACACTAGACCTGAAACATAGAAACACTTTGGACATAACTCAACAACTTTGGAGTTAAAAAAAAAAAAAAAGAAAATTAAGCTTAAAAAAGAACACTAATGTATCTATAATATATTAAATATTTGACTCCAAGAGACACATTTGTCATAACTTTGTGAAATGGCACATTATGTAGTTTTGGATAAGTGGGTAAAACTACTACAGGTAATTTATAATAATTTGATAATGTCTCATTTGCACATTTAAGTATACATTTTAAGAAAACTTGTTGTCTTAATGGAAGTAATGAAGTTGGGCAGTGTCATGGTGACATCAAACAGTTAAGATTTTTACTCCATTCACCTGTAGTGTCGTAACCACAGTGTTAGATTTTGAGTGATATCAGTCAGTGTCATGAGAGTCAAAAACCTAGGGAAATACCAAGCTCACTTGAGTTTACCCTGCTGGTTACTGTGATGTTTGTGTCAGTGGCAGCTTCAGGGGAAGTAACCCCGCATGCACATTTCTGTCGTTTCACAACAATAAAAAAAAAAACAAGCCAGTCTGAAGTAAGTCACTGTGTGGTGTCATTGAAACGAGTGCATGTCAAGTGAAATGTTTACACTGGCCAGATGGAAAGCACCAGAGATATCTCTCTCTGGTTTCCCACTGCACACACACACACACACACACACACATACAGTACATACACAGAGTTGCCGCTCAGTCCTGTCACCCCCAAAGTCTTGTGGTTAATATATTTGAGGTGTTTTCGCTGCCATCTCATCTGTGGGCGGCACAGGGAGGAAGTTCAGCGTTGTGGGTTTGTTTTCTCCACCCGAGTACCACACCCTTTCCTCATACATTATCAGGATACTTTATAGACTCTCATATTCTTAACTTTTGCTAGATAGATTTAAAGGATAATGCTGGCTATAACCTATGTTTATCAAAGTATTAACAAATCCCAACATCCAACTGGTCCTACTAAAACATTGTTAGATACAGTCCAATTGTCATATTCCTCTTTGTCAGAGAGCTGTTGTCCAAAAACACATCAGTGAGCTACACTGTTGACTGTTGCGTTGGGTGTGATGTTTCTATCTTACTATGAACTCAGACACTAAGTCAAAACCACATACACTGTCCACCTGCTGTAAATACTCATTCGTGCACTGACTGTGTGTTAATCCTCGGTTGGAAATAGTCCCCAATCAAATGTACTATTCATTCTTGTTTGAGTAATGTTTGCTAAAAACTACTGTGCCCGGCTGTTTAAAAATAAATGCTTAGAGTTTTTAAAAGTTTTAAAGATGGACAGTATTCATTTAGAGACAGTCCAACACACTGTTTTCCTTTTACAAATACAATAAGGAAATTTATTTTCCTACACTTTAATACCTGATAATGTAGTCACTGTGCCTACATACAGTTGCCGGAATATTGTAGCTGGAATAGCAGCTTAAATACACACATGATTTTTCAAATTTCCAAAGACAGCAAACATTTCAGGCTGAATTTTGGGGAAATGTGTATGAAATTCAACCCTGTCTCCGAGAATGTATTGTATTTGTTAGTCCAGTTGTGTTGTGGGAAGAAACCTATCACTGTCTGGATTATTTTGCCCAAGATATCCAGATTATTTCCATTTGACAAAATGGTGCAGCCTTAAAAAAATATGGAGTCTTGGGTTTAGATTTTTCACTCAGTCAGGGACTAAAATAAGCTGATGCAGACTATGAATGTGACACTGACACACATAGTGGCATAAGAAGATTTGTCCAACCTGAAGGGGCAATAAAAGCAAAAACTGTAAATAACTGGGTTAAGCACGCGTAAAGAAATACAGACAGACACTCAGCTGGCTCGGATATACAACAGGTGCCGAGCCAGGCATTTCCAACACGTCCATCAGTCACCACCTCTGTCATTAACTGTCTTCTGCCTCCTGATCAGGGCATGTGGTATGTGAGCAGCAGTGTCAACATTTTCTTAATAAATTATTATAAGTGCCTCTTGGCAGTTGAGGCACTTCCCAGGAGGCATTTTCCACTTCCTTCTTCGCTGACCTTTGTTTGTATGAACCGATTGTGCTGCTGCAGCAGATTTATAACTTTGCTCTGCAGTAACAACCACAGACTACACAGTTAATCAGAAACACCTGCTGATACAGTTGACCAGATCAAAATGGCATCCAGAGGGTCCAAATCGATTTATGTAACGTCAAAGAAACTAAAGTACATAAAACTATCACTAATGATACACATTTAAAACTTACTTAAATCTGTGTACTTAAAACACACATAGACATATACTGCAAACAGACATGTAAAGCCACTTGCATCACCATGTATATTAGTTTATCTATTTACTCTGCCATGTGTACTTTATTTTATTTTTTTATTTTATTTTAGTACTACGTCTTTGGTTGCAATCACCATGACACTAAACTTGAACTTGAAGCCACCAAAGACACCCACTGATTTACAAAATCCTGGATTTATACATGTTGTCATATCTTTCAGAAACGTTTTAATGAAAATTACAAGTCCTAAAAGATATTTAAAGATTTTAAAAGGCAGTTAGCATGATTGTCTGCTATATTGTGTTTTCCCCCCGTGTTCGTATTGGCACCATATCAGCACCTGTTCCTCCACCTGGTCTGGAGTCATACAGAAGCTTCACCTGTTGTTTATTTACACTGTGCTGTGTACTGTATCAGATGTTTTGAAAAGAGGAGTCATGGGTGAATCGTTTTTACCTCGACAGTTTTGCAGTCCTATTTTGCCTCTGTAACGACCATATATTCAGAAAGTGTTCAGCAAATATAACTGGACGTAATGCTTATATTGTGTAATCTTTAAATGAGTAAAGTGTTTTTTAAATAATCAGCTATTTGACAGTCATTTAGAGAAGCAGCAATGAGCGAGTCATTCATGCCAAAAAAACTTTGTATTTGACGGAAAACCTGCCTGAATACTGGGCTTCACTTGTTTTTCTTAACTGACCCATGAACCCTGCTTTGTAATTGTACAGATGATTAAGGCGCACAGTTGCACCATCACTTTCCACCTGCACTTTGATCAAATCCCAGGCTGTCATTTTGACCTTAAACCACTGATGATAACACACACTGAATAATAAGCAGTGTGTTTGAACGCCATAAAATCTAATCAGCTAATCAATTAATCAAGGAATTCCTGACACTCGAAATATAGGTTTAATTTAATTTAATTTCATTGTATGAATCAGGTAATAATAAAATACTAAATTGTATTTACAGTGGAAGAAAATACAGTGAGAGTATGGGAATCATATTAATGATTGGGCAATTTAGTAGAAAGGAGAAAAGAAATTACACTCAGGTGTTTTTGTAAATAGTATGTACAGGGTGCAGTACTGGGAAACAAAACTGGAGTTTGAGCAAAGCAGAGTATACAACACTGATATTCTGAGGAAAGATATATTTCACAGTTACAGTGGGGGTACAGCAGGATAGCAAAATGGCCTTTGGAAAAATCTCTTGAAACTCAGACGGAGGGTTGACCTTATAAAATATAAATGTGACCAAAATTTACCAGCGTTCAGGTAAAGCAGTGTAGTTTGAGGGTAAAAAGCTTGAACAAAAGGAAACCCAATCACCAGAAGGAAATGTTGGCATTGAAGGTTTCTGCAAACCACAGGTACTTGCATGTTGTTATGTAGTCGATACACTGAAACTTCATGCTCCAACAACACTGTGGTTAATGCGTGGTTAGGTTTATGCACAAAAATCACGTGGTTATGGTGAAGAAAAGATCATGTTTTGGCTTGAAATACCCCGTTTGGGGGGCGGACAAACCCAGCAGTGAAAAGCAACGTCTTTTGCTGGCACTACGCCTGCCAAAAAGCCAGTGGAAACACAGCAATGACTTGTTGTTTGTTGGTCTCAAACAGTGGTCATACATTGTTAATATGATGCATTAGAAACATGGAAATGTAATGTATTAGTGGTTTGCAGAAACATATTATGCCATCATTTTCTTATGGCAATTAGAGAACTGGTTTAATGCTGTCTCACTGCCCTGGTTATTTTACCCACCAGCTCATGTTCTTTGGACTGACTCCACTAATGGATGAAGTATGATAAATACAAATTATTTTTTATTTTGCTCATTGCTATTATAAGGAAAAATTGCCCCACCAGACATCACAGAAGTCTGTCAATGTCTTCCTTTTTTTTCTTAGTGCCGTTGTTGTATCTTTGACCTCTAGCTGCTTGTTTTGAGTTTGCGTTGGCATTAAGTGGGTGCCATTATTTTCTTTTTGTGGTTACTACTGGTAGAACTTTTGCTCTATTTACCAACTGAATGCAAAATTTGCTATCTCTTCGTGGAACTTCCACTTCATGACTCTTAAGTTATTTCAGATCAACACACTTCCTTGCAACTTTCCTCAAAGTTTTTCTCCTCTTTCTCTTTCTTATTTGTTTTCTCAAATTCTCATTGTGAGCTGTCAGATCTGCCAAAAATATCTGGAAGATTTGTAAATGTAACGTGTAAAGTTTTTCAAAATATCCAAACAAATGGGGGTGCTTCCTTTGTTTCGTTGCTTTTAGTTGCAACCAAATAAAGCAACCATGTCAAGCACATGGGTGCTGCTGAAGATTTGAAATGTGCCATCTTTAGATGACAGATGTGTATCACAAATGTGAATATTTACATATATACAGTGCATAGATATTTGCAGGAATGTGTTTAATCATAAACCATTTTCTTTTCTGATAGGTTAGGAATCTGCCTGGTGCCCTCCATGTCTACATGTGCAGTAGAGGAAGGAAGACGAGATGGCCGTCTGTCTATTCAGGAACTGTATGTCTGAAACTAAGGCAGACACAGACTGTGGGATTTGTGCAAATACTATATATATTCAGCAAGAAAATATGGACATGCATGACCACTGAGGTTTAGGGTCAGTATTTATTGTGTTTCATATCCCTTTTTTCCAGTTTGTTCTGTCTGGAGTTTACCAACCTCAGGACTCGGGAACTGCCAATAAACATATCTCCAATATACTGATTTAATATACAAATTAATTTTAGTTAAAACAAAATTAATTGAATATTATTTTTATCTAATACATATGCTTGGCTGCTGTTGACCTGCTATTTTATAGTGCCAGGTGAAAAAACAAACTGAGATGTCATAAACTGAACAAAAGGGGTAATTCATATACAGTTATTGAACGTTTAACGTACAGTTGCAGAGCATCAACCTGACTTCTGTCTGAAGCGAATGCATTGTATGCTCATGTACAATAACATCAGAACAAGAAATCAAACTGCCATGAATAACCAGTGTTTTTATAGAAATGAAATAAAGCTTAATGTTGGAAATTATGGTTTGATGATGAAAGTGTGTCTCTGTGCTAATATTCATATTTTATAATAAAACTATACATTTCTGAAGTAAATTTGCTTTTGTATTTATTTGCACCTGACATGTTTTATTTCATTTATCCTTTATTTAGACAGGTAGTCTCATTGAGACGCAGGGGCTCATACTCAAGAGTTCTAGTCAAGACATATATATAAGTGGAAGTCTGTGAGTGATTAGTAAAAAGTAAAAACAGTAGGTAAATTAAAAGTAAGATTTTTTTGTTACCAATTTATTTTTGAGTGAAAAGCCATATTTATCTTCAGCCAATGCTGGCAGGTGTACAAAGAACAGGATCATGAAACCAGAACTTCAGGTTTGCCTCCAGACTCCTGTCTCATGTTAAGGCAACAAGAGCACTTCGGTTTAGGTTAGGGAACATCTTGATATTGGTTATATTTTAATATAAAAAATATAATAAAGACTCTTGTCTTATGTTTAGGCATCAGATCCATGTGTTTTTGGTTAAATATTTATTTAGAAGGTGGTTAAAAAATGCTGCTGTAGTCAGAAATATGCAAAAATACATCAGAATATATTTTGATACAAAATACAAAATACCCCTCAAATAAAGGTATCAAAAAAAATGTATTTTGTATTTTCAAATACAGAAAATGCTTTTTTTCTTTTTCTTTTTAGCAGCGACCCGCAGCTCTATCGGCCACTCTGACCCGTCACTCTGTCAGCCGGTTGGTTGGTCGGTTGGTCCACAAAGCTTTTTGTGAATAATTCAAAGTCCTTGACCAAAAATGCTCAAAATTTATATGCTGCTGGGGTGTCGGTGGCTTAGTGGTAGAGCAGACGCCCCGTGTACGAGGCTGTTGCTGCAGCGGCCTGGGTTCGACTCCAGCCTGTGGCTCTTTGCTGCATGTCTCTCCCCCTCTCTCTCTCTCTCGCTCCCCTTTCACACTTCACTATCCTATCAATTAAAGGCAAAAAATGCCCATAAAAAAATCTTTAAAAAAAAAAAAAATGTTTTTTTTACATGAATTACATGCTGCAATTAGAGACCACAAGTAACTATGTCAGAAAGAACAACCATGATTCATCCATTAATGACGTGATAGTAGCAAATTTGGTCACAGCTGTTGCAAATTTGCGCTTGTTTTCTCACAGTTTGGTATAGCAGAGTATTCAGGTTTGAAACAGAAACACTGGCTATGCACTAGCCTAGACAGCATGCTAGCGTTATTAGCATGTTAGCATCGATCGCTGGCTTTGCTAAACACTGGCTATGCACTAACCTAGACAGTTAGCATAAGCATCGCTAGCTTGATATTATAACTATCATCACCATGTTTATTGTTATACAATAGGCTATGTCATCAGACCCAGACATAAATCATACATCAAGCCAGTTGACATCTGTCACACTGAACTTGGAAGACGTGAGCAGCAAGGTAGTCTACTGGTAGTGTGGGTCCATCCGGTGAGCAAAAAGATACTGTAGCTACTGTAGCTAGTTAACTTGTTTGCTGTCTAACTTGGAGCCTTTGGAGCCCTGTGTTCAACTTTTTTCAAGTGAAAAAGAGAAGAAAAAGCTAGGGGCATGTAGGCTACCCTAAAGTATTATTTATTGATTCAGATCTAGATTCAGACAACTTTATTGATCCCACGTGAGGCAGTTCATTTGTAGCATAGGCCTACTCATCCCAAGCATCAACTGCAACATACAATTTCCTATGTTATGCACAGTCCAGTAAAACAGACCACTAGGTCATTGAAGGGCACTTTGAATGGCCCAAGTTTAAAAAAACATATAGATAAAAATATTTAAAAAAAAAAAAAAGTAAAAAATATTGTTACATCCAATATTATAGGAAATGTGTAGCCTATTATTTTTGTTTTTTGATCCTTGGAGAAAGTATTTTGAGTATTTTAAATACAAAATTACTCCACTCACAAGTATTTTGTTACAAATTACATTTGCTTTTTATCGGCCTTATCAAATACAAATGTAATTTGTAATACAATGTAATTGAAATACGTATTTTAAATACAAGTAATAGAAATACTGCCCATCCCTGGCCTTGCTTTGCATTTTTCCCTCAAAACTAATAAAGCAAAAATATTTTAAATCCAGCGTGGTTTACATCCACGTTTGCTAGCAGGCGTTGTCTTCACTGATTTTACTGGTGCAATGCTGCATTTTTTGGCCTCTTACCGCTACAAGTTGATCAGTGGAATTGTGTAATAAAATTGGCAGGAGTGTGTATTGACCTGGAAAAAAAATACAAAAAATCTGAACACTTAAAAATGTATAGATTTGAGGTGGGAGGGGGAACGTTAAAGGGTGCGTGACCTCTTAACCTCTACAATCTTAGCAACGGCCCTGTCTTTTATATACTATATTACTGGATGCATTAATGCATATGCAGAATTTTACTGGTGTAGACGATCAGATTGGAGCAAATGTAACTATTCTGAATGTAATCTGTTTTCTATCTCATCTGAATTTATACTGTAGCTATTACAGCTGTCCAATACATGTAGTGGAGTACAATATTTTGGAGTAGAAGTTCAAAGTACCATTAAATAGAAATATTCAAGTAAAATACAAGTACCTAAAATGTGGACTACTATTGGACCACTTTTCACCAACACTCAGTAATAATGCTGATTAAAAAAGGGGTTGTATGTAAGGAGGAGACACCTGTTTGTCCAGTGGCAATAACCTCAACAGACAAGAGTGCAATGCAAAACAGCAGCTACTGCAATGAACAACGGGCTGCAGTTGTAATTACACACACCCTGGTGTTCACAAACTACTTGAATAGCAAGCAGTCAAGCTTTTATTGGCAGCATTACGTTATTGCCCTGCCTTGCCTTTTTGTCCTGAACTTTGTTGAGAGGCATTTCAGGAAGTGTGTCAGTTAGAAATAGAGCAAGCAGTTCAAGGAAATGATCAAGATCTTGTAGACACCTGAGCACAGCTGAAGAAATAATAAAATGTAGTCAGTCACACTCGAGCACATGCTGCACATACAGCAGCATCTGAAACAATCCAGACATCTCTTAAAAGATCCAGATTTAAAACTTTAATTTTATTCAATGGGGTGAGACTTTCAGGTTGTAAAGTCCATTGTGATGAAAAAAAAATACATGCATAAAAGCTGAATCCATTCTGCTTCTAATCTTAAAATATACTAGGAAATGTGTGACTTTCCCCACAGAAGGCCTCACAAATTGTTTCTTTGTGGCACATTCTCAGCTACCATCTCCTTGTTATCATCGCATTTCCATCTTACAACTGGATCAACAAGTCTACTTGTGCAGGTTAACGTCATCAACAAACACCTGGACAAATCCGGGAAGATTCCTGCGATGAATGAAAAGAATCTCGCTCTTCAGTGTGCTCTGCCAGCTCAGTGGTTTGTTATGAAAGAAAATGACAGCTGCCAAAAATATGTAGACGTCTTTATCAAGTCAATCAAAATCAAGGCTTGATTCCTCACACCCTTCATCTTAATGTTACTTGTTGTCATTTACACTGACTGTGTGTAATGTCAGCATGCATGGCGAAAGTGCATTACACAACAGCATTACTTCCTCATAATTTGTGGGGATTATAGGGGAACCCCAGATGGGGAAGGACAAATAATTAATGCAACTACTTACTATTTATCTACCTAATAACAAAACACCACATGTTAATCAATAATATAATTTATTGCAGTAACAGGCCAGATGCAGGACAACTCTTCCTCTCTGTCATGACGTCCTCACCGAGTGTTTTGTGGAAAAACTAGTTTATCTCACAGCACACTTTGTTAAAGTGAGAATGTTTTTATTTTGTTCTCCAAACTTGTAAACCCAGTTTGATCTGTATGCAATAAGGTTAAAAATAAAATACTAAAAAGAGCTGTTGTGTTGTTTAAAATACATTTCTGAACTTTTTAAGACTTTGTTTTGGGACTTAGTGATATTAAAATATTCCAATGAGACAGTTAATTTGCCACTGGAAGGAAATTTGTTAGTCAGAGCAGGGATCGCTCACATATCAGGGCTGCTCAGGCTCATTTTGGTCCGCTTCCTTCCTCCAGCAAGGCTTATCCGTGCCAATATTAGGCTCTGGTCAGAGCCGTGCATTTTAACCACAGCAGAGCAGAGTCATTCATCTCTGCGCACATAAACTTACAGCCCTTCACAATAAAGACACATAATCATTCACATTAAGATTTTTTTATTTTTTATATAAAAACAACAACAAACACAAACAAAAACTATGTACAGAAATTGTTTCCACCTGCCTTGAGCGAAAAACCTGTAAGATTTTGAAGTAGAGCTTCAACCAGAAGTTAAGACAAACGTATCCTCATCCCTTAAACTGAAGTTAACTTGTTTACATAACGGAAAAAATAGATTTCACATGATATATTTGAGCATAATGAATAAGAAAATCTGCATTTTTGAGGTGAGTATTATCTACCTTGTATGTATCCACAGAAGTCCACAATGTCTGTGCTAATACAACTCAACACAAAAAAAGCTGAGCACCAAAATGCCTTGAACCAGCCAATAGCATAGAAAATGAACAGCATGTGAGTTTTCCTAACACATCAGTGCACTTCATATCTTCTCTTCATGGCTTCATACAGAGGTTGAGGGAGATGAGGAAAGCTCTCAACTGCTACGGATCGTCACGGCACACAGGTGAGGACGGGGAGTGGTTGTTAGCTTAGAGTGTGGTGGAGACAGCTCATCACGGACTGGAGGGATGATGATGATGATGGTGTTGAGTTAACTGCGAGGAGGGCTCAAAAAGGGAGGCTGGGGGGCAGGATGTGATTTTAAACAAGTCCAAATTGTCAGAGCACTGTCTGAGCCTGAAGATCTCAGAGCAAGGGCATCTGCTGACAAAAGCTGTTCCAGAGGTCATCTGTGGGATTTGTGATGCCTGTGCCCAAAGTTATGTACTCAGGAATGTCGTCTAGTTCTTCAACTGTAAGACAAACACGGAAAAACAAAGGTCAGGATGGCGAAGAACATATCTTAAATTATTAAACACTAGGTATTTCAAAAAGTGACATTCAAGTGTTATAAATTTGGCCTGTGGTCTGTAGTCTAATGCAAAGCTATTACGCTGAATTGTGGGAAATGTAGGATGCAGCATTTTTGATCCTTAAAAGTCAGGTTATCTCAAATTTGACCCTAATTTTGTTAACCTATTGCTCATGTGTGCAATGCTATATCATCAGAGCCCCCCTTTAATTTGTCACTTTACTTGACTTCACTAAATTTGCATTTTGGAATAAAGTGTTCAATTATGTTTGAGAAATACTAACTAAGTGTGTTTCACCTGAACAACCCCTTGCAGAAACACACATTTATATCTAGATTTTTTCTGAAGGGCACAAATGTCGCAGATGGATTTAGAGGCAGTTGTCCATCTGACCCATCAACTTGTAACATTTACCTGAAGATGCTGATTCACTCCACTGGCTCCCTGGACTGGTGCATGCTTCATTGCTCAGGAACCCCTTGCCGTCTAAACTGCTTGACATCCAGTTTGTTTCTTTCTCCAGTTGCTGGCAAATCTGAAAGAACAACACTGGACTGAGTATGGCTATAATATTCTGAGCCACTTTCCCCACACCAAACAGTCTTATATTATTGTTGGGGGCTATTAATACACATGCCAAACAGGCAGAATAAGACAAACATGGGTATTCCTGTCAATGAAAAATGCATGCAGATAAGAGTGGGAGCCAGAGGCAATGCTTACCTGGACAATGTCGTCGGTATAGTCAAAATCTGGAAGGCCGCAGCGAAGGGAGAGGAAGAGAAAAAGAAGGGATCGTGAGTACAGCACTGTGATGTCAATCTATTTGTTTGAATTACTAAACGATTTCTTAGCAAGTATACCATATGTAGTGTTGTCTTACCAGTGCTGTGCTCAGGTGAAACTTCGAATCTGTGGCAGAAGTTGGTTGGAAAGTTCTCAGGGGCGATCTCAACTGACAAAGACCAATCAGGAACTTCAGACGTAGACACATATGTGAAATCTGCAAAGACAAACAAGAGCATTTAATACACTGATGCTCCAGCTTCTAGTGGCAAATTTATTCCTAACACACTGTGACCTTAAATTAAATGAAATAAAATTACTGCTCAAGTTGATTCTTGAACTATCCGTATTTTCTTCCTCACCTTGCTGCTCTGTGTGCACTGTGCTGTCGACTGTGTTCTCCTGAGTGGAGAAAGTGTCCTCTGGCATTGACTCGTCCATGGGAGACTGAGCTTCGCTGCAGTCTGTGTCTTCCTCCACCTTGATCATTGAGCTCTGCAGAGAAGGATAAGGTCACAATCCGTGAGATTTAGGAGCCAGACATCTGCAGCTGTATGTTGAGCTATTGCACCAATATCATTATGGTCATTAGCTATCTGCAGTATTTACCTTCTTCCTTGTCTTTGGCTCCTTTGCTTTGCTTCGTTTATCTGTGCAGATGAGAAAAAAACATTTGGGTCACTCAAACAGCTCATCGTCTGATGAAGAAAAAAAAAGATCAGCAGCCGCTGCACACCAGTGTTAATACATATTTGCTTGCTCGCTTCCTGTCAGTTGTCTCACCTCTAGATTTTGGGCTGGCAGGCAGCATCCTGAAGACGCGCACAGCTTGGTGGCCTTTGTTAACGCTCCTGTCTTTCACCTCCTCGATGTCAGGCAGTGAGTTCATTGCACAGCGGAAGTTGGCTTTCCATGTCTTTGGGTCGCAGGCCTGACCTTCCACGTATTTTCCTGCAAAATGCACAATTAGCTTTATACCTTCTTTCGTTCACAAAAAAAGTAGAAGAATTTTCTGCATAGTCTGCAAAGTTTGTGTGCATATTCATGCTTGCTCACCTGTGTGGATGGCCCACTGCTTGAACAGACTTGCATCCTTGTCCAGCTCCCAGCCGTGGCGAGCCGCATGCTTCCAGGGGATTGAGAACATCGTCTTTTCCTGGAAAATACAAAAGGAAATGCTAAGTTGGAACGAAGGTTCAATGTAGAATAAACACAAATATGAGTGCATACTTTCAAATTTTGCAAGAGGCTGCCATTCAAACGAAGCATCCAACTTGTGGGCTACTGTTAGCAGTTTTCTACTGTGTGGCCTTAAATTATGTAAAAATCTTATTTGCATAGCACAGTCGCAGCAGCCACAGAAGGAAAGAACACACCCCAAACAAGTTTTAGTCTTTATTTAAAGACTGAACCACGGTTGGTCACATAAGATTAAGATTCGTAATTTCTCTTCGAGGTGTTTGGCCATCTCCCTCTCACAGATAAAGTAGTGCTGTAACATCTGTGAGTTAGAGACCCAACTTGGGTTACAGCCAACTCTTAACTTCTTTTTTCACATGCTTGTAATGCCAAAAGGTGTTTGTTGTAAAAGGCTGCCAGATGTTTTCCTTTTCATAAAGACTCTACTATAGCAATTTATTTTCATCTGTTCAGCACCAAAATCCATCCCAACGGTGCTTCAAACAAACAACTCTAAGAGTAGCATGCAAATATTGCGTGGTCAGCAAGGGAACAAACATCAAATAAAGACACGTGCAGCCTTGCAGATCACTTCCCTTATCAATAAAGGTGACACCCGCGCCCTACAACAAATACATTTCAGTCTGTTTCTGTTCTCATTTTTTAATATGCCGACTACACACTCTCAGCAAATGCCGTTAAACCAATCCAGTTTGTCTAAGGAGGAAATTGTCTCACCTTGTCCACCCAATTCAGACCCGAGACTGCCTTTGACTCGATCTGCTGCTCCAGCCATGGCCTCATCCTCATCCTTGACACGGGCATGTTTGCCTAAAATATACAGCAACAGAGGGAAGGAGTCATAAGATGGAAGAGAAATGCAGTGTTTGATATGAATCCACTCCCGCATCTGTCTCACGGTAGATTTATCGCTGCCTGCTGGCCGCGCAAGGGGAGGGTTCACGGCCAGGGCGAACAGGGGGGCGTTCACATCGTAGGAGTGAGCGCTACTTATGAAGGTCACAGTAGACCCAACCTGGTTGGACTTAAGTGGCTTTTGCATTCACGAAGGCATTCAAATACACGCGGACTTATTTTTTTTTTCTTTCTGTGGGCGGGGGGGGGATCTTGCATTTGATCTTATCCAATCTGTGGGCATTTGGAGACGTGTGCTCAAAGACCCGCTTTGCGCGGGGAGACCACACACCTCCTCCTGCACTGCTGCATGCATACCATACACACAGGTTAAAAAAAAGTCACTTAATCTCTGTTCAGTTAACTCCTGTCGATAAATAAACAACAGTCCGTCTGAATGCATGGTGCGCAAAAACAACGCAAATTTTTCCCATCCGCAAAATGTAAACGCATCACAACATTTGTCATTTAAGGATGTCAGAGGCTACAAACAACTTAATATTCCTGTATAAGTATTCCAGATTTACAGTATTTATTGTTAAAAACAGCAAAAGGTTAAACTCAAAGTCATTTCAATGCAAGTAGAAGTGATGAATGAATTTCAAATCACTTACAGACTTTGCTTGTTCTATGATCCGTAAGAGGAAAAATGCACAAGAATAGTCCGATAGGTCAGGGTTTGCTCCAGAGAAGCTTCTCCTGGTCTTTGTGTTATCCACTTGTCGACCTGTCTTGATCAGAAGCGGGTTCTGTGAGCCAGTATAAGACCAGCGCTGTTTTATAGGTTAGTGATAGCAGGGTTTTCCCCCGGCTGGGAGACGTGCTGCACACTGTAAAAAATACCCACCCCACTTTTTTTAAAAACCATGTCAACTAAAAATTCAGTTTTCATTGAGCAGTTGAACACTTTTCTTTGTATCACTTGGCATGTTTATAGCGTTGCAACTTCATGCATGCAATACACCACGTCTACTCCTCCCAAAAAAGTGGTTTGAAGACACAAATAGAAATGAAGTTAAACTGGGGTGGACATTTTTTGCAGCGTGCAGGCGCATGCGCAACTCACAGACCCATTCAGCGGCAGCAGAGCAGTTTCCGAGAAATCACGCTGTTAAATGCAAGACGGAAGTTTGTAACAACAAGAGTTGACTGCAGAGGATCGCAGCACGTAGACCGGACCAACACACACCCACCCACCCACACACACACACACACACACACTTTGAATGAGCCAACACATCTGTCACTCTCATGTTTGTTTTTCTTTATATTTAGGTTTGAACAGTTTTTGCAGACTTTTCAACTCTGCTGCTTATTGCAAAAGTTTTAGTATTTGCAAGTGCTGTCACACATTGATTTTAAATCTAAGGATGACATAATATAGAGTATGACAGGCTGTTGTTTATTATTATATATTAATGTGTCATAAAGGCTATCGCACATAGTTGCAACTAATAAGAAGAAGAGTAAGAAGAATATGTTTTAGTGTAGTACCTATTATTATTATTATTATTATTATTGTTGTTGTTGTTGTTGTTGTTGATTATAATAATAATGATATTCTTTTTAGTATTAGTAGCAGTAGTAGTCACAGAATCTGTAATATCAGTCTGAAGAGATTCTGCAAAGTGTATTTTATTGAAATAAGAATATGCATGGAAATTATCACAAATATCAAGCCACCAGCACAAAGACACACACACACACGCGCGCGCACGCGCGCATCCAAGCCAGGCATGACAAACATGTGCATGGGACCAGCCCTTTAGTATAAACAGCTCCTCAGCAGAGAAGTAAGGCATTTACAAGAAATGGTGTAGTAATTTCAGTCACCAGAGGGGGCAGTGTAGCACAGGCATGTCTTGTGATGATCTGGCGCGATGATGACACAGTGTGGGGACAGAAGCAGTAATAACACGCGGAAGTAGCAGTTAGAGCAGCAGCTGTGTAGGCACAGACCATGGCACAGACAGTAAGTGTTATAATAATTCACCCAGGCTTCATGAAATGTTTAAAAATAAACCAATGCGTGCACAAGACTGCAGCTGGGTGAGAGACATGACATCACATGTATATGTTATTGTTTTAAATCCAGGTGCTTGATCCCCTCACAGTTTGCACCTAATAAACACACATGTTATACACCAGTATCGATGCACACACAGCTCTCACGCTCCATGTGCATATGGGAACCCCCACACCACTGGTATCGCTGCTACCAGCGCTGGCCATCTAGGGGCTTCCCGCGTGCTGTGTTTGCGCGCTCGCGCCGGCGTGGTACGTGCCACAAACAGGCTCGGCCGCGCGCCCGCGCCTGTAGAGGAGTAGTAGGGAGTTTTCCTGCGGAGTTTTCACCGGCACTGAGCCTGTGGGTTTTCCCAATGAAAGCACAAATCTGGATTCGTGGGGGAATATCATCCCCATTTTCCCACCGATTATTGTTGTCAGCTCCCTGTTGATGAATTATGGCAGCACAGAGAGACACGTGAATTAGCCCGGAGGAATTCACTGTGATTACTGACTCAGTACATGCAACTGTGAGGTGTTTATTCTCAGGTTATCATGTGTTGTATTTTCAGTTCAGTCACTAGAATTTATTTATTTTAAAAAAGCATTAATTTTTTGAGCAATAGTCTAAAGTTGTGGCACCAAACCTGCATACAGGCGTCTCCAAACTGGCTGCAAGATAAGTCTGACGGGTCACATGGTGATTAATCAAAGAGGAGAAAAAGAAAACACTCAATATTTCTGCTGACTTTTCTCTAATAATTCATGTTCCCCTGCAAAGTAGTGAATAATTTTAGCCTTCCACATCTGTAAAATGTGCAAACAAAACAATTTGGCACATGGCAGATAAACAAAGTTTGGGAGCCACTGTATACTGTAACAGTTAGAGCTTTCCAGTGGTAACATGCAATTGATTCAAACACACATCTGTTATTTTTATTAATATATTTGAAATGCAAGTCGAACAATATCCAGTAACTAAATTTATTTGTTTTTGGTTTGTCCATTGTCATTTCTATCAGCAAATTTAAAACTGTAAGCAAACTACTGTAACAGAAATATGTAATCGATACCCAGCATTTAACTTCTTGTCAGTGTGTAACAGGCTGTTAGTGCCTCACTCAAAGGACAGAACAAATGAAGATGGCTTGACTTGATCTCTTGTCCTGCTAAAGAGCTGATTTTATGCTGGTTTTTGGCCCCCTTCCAAACAGAAATTGTCAGCACGCCATCATCTAGAAATACAATGACACCGGCCTGCTCACCATTTCCCATAATCCTGGGATTATTAGGCCACATTAGCCTTAAACCAGTGATTGTGTGTTTTGTATTGTCCTTTGATTAACTGCATTTAAGGTGTTTTCACACCCACAGTGACAAAGTCCTGAACGTTTTATTGCACCTTTATGGTAGTGATTCTGATTATTTAGGCCACCTGCATGGATAAGACAGTAATTTGAGGCTTTGAGATGAGACAAGCAGCTTGAGCATCCAATCTTCCCCTGGACCATCTGCTTTAAAAGCTCACTGACACTGGATCAAGTCAAAGCCTTCGTTAGTTAGCTTGCAATTACACTGTGACCTCATGCAGGGTGAGGGAGTGGGAGGGCGTATACAGCGGGCTAGAATATCTAAATATAATATCTGAACCTGATGGATCTGATTTTGTCTTTTTTCTCTTGAATCATGACGCATTTGTGTTGCTCATTTATAACAATAGTTATGAATGAGTGGATTATGAGACATTGGTCCTCTGGGCACAGTTATGTTCACAGACAGGCTTCACCACCTCTCCTACACAGGACTGGAAACACACACAGACATGTGTGTGTGTCATTGTGTGTCTTTTTGGTTGTTTTGTGTTGAGCATTTTGTGTTGAGAGTCCAATCTCCCCCCCAGACCTAATGATCGTTTTGTGTCCTTTAGATCATTTTGCTTCCCTTCGTAGTTATTTTGTGCCTCTTTTTGTTCATTTAGTGTTTGTTCTTTTTGTTCATTCATGTTTAGTCATTTTGTGTCCCTTTTTTCTTCTTTTGTGTCTCCTTGTAGTTATTTTGTGTCTCTTTTTGTTTTTTTGTCTTTTTTGTTGTTTTATGTCTTCTTGTAGTCATTTTGTGTCTCTTTTTGGTTGTTTTGTCTTTTTTGTTGTTTTATGTCTTCTTGTAGTCATTTTGTGTCTCTTTTTGGTTGTTTTGTGTCTCCTTGTAGTAATGTTGTGTCTTTTTGGATGATTTGTGTCTCCTTGTAGTAATGTTGTGTCTTTTTGGATGATTTGTGTCTCCTTGTAATCATTTTGTTTCTCTTTTTGTTGGTTTTGTGCCTCTTTCTGGTTGCTTTATGTCTCCTTGTAGTCATTCTTGTCTTCCTGTAGTCATTTTGTGTCTCTTTATGGTTGTTTCGTACCTTTTTGTTAATTGTGTCTCTGTGTAGTTATTCTGTGTTTTCTGTGGTTGTTTTGTGTCTCTGTTTGCTTGTTTTGTGTCTCCTTGTAGTCATTTGTGTCTCCTTGTAGTCATTTTGTGCCTTCTTGTAATCATTCTCTGTCTCTTTTTGCTTGTTTTGTGTCTCCTCGTAAACCTTTTGTTTCTCTTTTTGTTGGTTTTGTGTCTCTTTCTGGTTGTTTTGTGTCTCTTTCTGGTTGCTTTATGTCTCCTTGTAGTCATTCTTGTCTTCCTGTAGTCATTTTGTGTCTCTTTATGGTTGTTTCGTACCTTTTTGTTAATTGTGTCTCTGTGTAGTTATTCTGTGTTTTCTGTGGTTGTTTTGTGTCTCTGTTTGCTTGTTTTGTGTCTCCTTGTAGTCATTTGTGTCTCCTTGTAGTCATTTTGTGCCTTCTTGTAATCATTCTCTGTCTCTTTTTGCTTGTTTTGTGTCTCCTCGTAAACCTTTTGTTTCTCTTTTTGTTGGTTTTGTGTCTCTTTCTGGTTGTTTTGTGTCTCTTTCTGGTTGCTTTATGTCTCCTTGTAGTCATTCTTGTCTTCCTGTAGTCATTTTGTGTCTCTTTATGGTTGTTTCGTACCTTTTTGTTAATTGTGTCTCTGTGTAGTTATTCTGTGTTTTCTGTGGTTGTTTTGTGTCTCTGTTTGCTTGTTTTGTGTCTCCTTGTAGTCATTTGTGTCTCCTTGTAGTCATTTGTGTCTCCCTGTAGTCATTTGTGTCTCCTTGTAGTCATTTGTGTCTCCCTGTAGTCATTTGTGTCTTCTTGTAGTCATTTGTGTCTCCCTGTAGTCATTTGTGTCTCCTTGTAGTCATTTTGTGCCTTCTTGTAATCATTCTCTGTCTCTTTTTGCTTGTTTTGTGTCTCCTCGTAAACCTTTTGTTTCTCTTTTTGGTTGTTTTGTGTCTCTTTCTGGTTGTTTTGTGTCTCTTTCTGGTTGCTTTATGTCTCCTTGTAGTCATTCTTGTCTTCCTGTAGTCATTTTGTGTCTCTTTATGGTTGTTTCGTACCTTTTTGTTAATTGTGTCTCTGTGTAGTTATTCTGTGTTTTCTGTGGTTGTTTTGTGTCTCTGTTTGCTTGTTTTGTGTCTCCTTGTAGTCATTTTGTATCTCTTTTTGGATGTTTTGTGTCTCCTTGTAGTCATTTTGTATCTCTTTTTGGATGTTTTGTGTCTCCTCGTAATCATTTTGTTTCTCTTTTTGTTGGTTTTGTGTCTCTTTCTGGTTGTTTTGTGTCTCTTTTTGCTTGTTTTGTGTCTCCCTGTAGTCATTTGTGTCTCCCTGTAGTCATTTGTGCCTTCTTGTAGTCATTTTG